GATGATGGGTGCATAACCCACAACCATCCAGAACCATCCATAACCATCCATAACCCATGTCGTTGGAACGGAATGGAAACTCTCCGGAGCGAGGCCTTCGTCTGACTATCAGCCATGGCCTCGGTGAAGACCTTGACACTTGTCAAGCTGGGGATGGCTTAATATGGCTTAATATGGCTTAATGACTTTAAAAAAACTTATGTAAAATTCACATAGTATTTATTATGCAGCCCAAAAAGGCTGCAGCAGTTTGCGTCGAGGCCGTTGAGACCGACTCCTGTCATTGCGCCAGATCCTGTCAGCACAAGAGACGAGGATCCAGGGATGGGAATCACATGGCACTCATGGCACTGTGAGAGAAGTTCGATGAGATTGAAACATACATGGAATCGGTATGAATCCGGCAAGTTTGAGTTTTTTTTGATGGATTTTCGCTCCTTTAAACATTGGCCCAACACTGAGAAAACTGAGCCCTCAGAATGCAGGAGCTACAGCAAGCTCACCTATAACTAGCGATTGTCAAGGTGCAAAACTCGAGTTCCAGCTGTGACCCGTCACAGGAAGGTTAGCTTGCAATGTTTGCAATTTTCTTGCTGGGCTGTCCCGAGCTGTGTTTTTTCATGGGATTTGGACTTTGGACTGTGGTTGATCGGTTGATCGGTTGATCCATGCTTTCAATCTCACGCTGGGCGCAGGTCCAAAGCAAGGAGATCTACCAGTGAAAAGGTGAAGTTCTGCAGGAAAGAGCATGTGATGAGATGGCGCTCGCGCACGCGACTAGCAGCAACGCCAGGGCCAACCAGCACCAGCTGAAAAAGTGCTTCCCTCGTCTTCCCTTGTTTGTTTATGGATGATTAGTTTGTGTAATGGCACACACACAACAGAATCAAGACAATCTATAAGGAGTGATGTTTTTCACTTCGATTACCATGGTGAAGTGATCTGATGCTCCGCTGCTTTTCATCAAGTGGCTGCGTCAAGAAGGGGTTGGTGCGCGGGTGCTGTTTTTGCGCTGGGGATCTCAGAGATCTGCTGAGAGGAGGCTGTTTTTACTGGCCTTGTGCTCTCCTCCTATTTTATCAATTTTTATCACTCGAGGACTCAGGTTTGCTCAGATTTTTTAGTTTTTTTTTCAAGTCTCGATTCTCATCTTGCCATCTCAGGCTGCCTGTGCTGCTTCCGATGGGAAGGCCTGACTTGGCACATTGCATAAACTGGCGCCAGATGCACTTGCCATATCTTTCTGAGGAGACCCGACCCCAAGAAGAAGGAGGCGAAAGCCGCCTCCAAAAAGAAAAATGGTTATGCAGACAAAGGCGTGGTTGGGACACCGCATGTGAGCTTGGCACAATCCACCACCAGATCCTCAAGCCCACCATTCACTGCAGAATTACCTAATATCATACCATATCCAAGATGGATCAAGAATCAAGATGGTAAAATTTGCCCTCTGGTAATTTAACATAGCTATTGAAAATGACCATTAATAGTGGATTTTCCCATTAAAAATGGTGATTTTCAATAGCTATGTTAGTTTACCAGAGGGTGCATACTATATTTTCTATTTCTGCCCGATGTTTGCAAGGCGAGAATCAGCGGATGTCAGGTGAGCACATCGGCTTTCAGATTAGGCGCTTCATCTCTCGGGTCATCTCGGGTCGACGACGGTTTTTTTCACCGTGATCTGCTCTGTGACAGGACGGGCCCCGATGCTCCCAGCAAAACAGGTGCCAGTATGGACATTGATGTCGGCCACCTCAAATTCCACTGGTACCCACCAACATGAGATGGGTATGGATCAATACCTATTAATAATTAATACCATTTTTAGTGGGATGAACATCCATTTACCAGCTATTTTGATGTGAACTACAGGGGTACAAGGTTTTGACACACTGCCAGATGATTTAGGATGGTTTCAAAGGTCTTAATTTTAGATCACGGTAAAATGTGGTCGAAGATTGGCGTTTTCTGAGGTCAGCGAAATTGTGGTTTTCGCGGGAAAGCAGGAGATTGCTTTCAAGATCCTTCAAGCCTTAAGCAACATTCATGGAATGATCAACCGCTTTTGATCAGAATGGGTGACTTGAGTACCCAGAAAACAGTGCATGTAATTTTCAAGCAGGTACTAAGGTTACTAGTTCCACTGTTCTTTTGCTTCAGGAGCTGCTTTTCAACGCCACCCTGAGACTTACCCAGGGCTTCAAGTGCCCCATGCTGACACCTTGAGTCAGCGCCAGCGCCGTCAGCGCCATCAGCGTCAGCTTGGCGGTTCCAGGTATGGTTTGATTGGCCGCAATGGTGTCGGCAAGAGCACACTCTTGCGCGCCATGGCGGAACGTGATGGTCAGGGGCACTCAGGTCGACCTGTTTCCGAAAAATCAGCAACTTTTCGTTGGTTGCGGCGCCTTTGCAGCCATCTTTCTAGCTTTCTTTCCCATTCCCTGCAGAACACAGGGACCAGTTCTGTCAGCCATGGCATTCCCAATCTACGAGTTTGTCAACAAGGACCATCATGATTGCAGGCCAAAGTTGTATTGATGGTGTCATGGCGTCATTTTTTTTAACAAAGAATGTTTAGTTTCTAGATGAAAGGATTGCTAAATCATCTTATATCATTACAGATAAATATGATAGAAATAAATAGAAATAGACTCAGACTAATAACAAAAAAAACAAAACAGAAACTGCTCCAAGCTGGGTCCAGGGATGAGCCTCTTGGTCGTTCATTTCCAAGTCAGAATTGGCTTTGCAAACCACTTCTCTTTTTCTAGGCACACTGAGTCTGGGGCTTCTGCAGGCATGTTTGCAACCGCATCAACACGTTCTGTATAGCTTAGTCAGAATAGCTTGGATCGTAGTAGTGGTTACACCCATGGATGCTTAATGGGTAACCTCTGACTGGGTTGATGATGGTTTTCTATCCTGCACTATCGATCACTAATGAAAAATGATATCACACTGCACATGAAGAGTCTTTTGAGCATGCAAAGATACTGCGGTCACAACATCAATGTCATCCATGTCTTTTAAGATGGATGGAACTGGGCAACTCATGCAGTTTGCAAGATCACGGGCTTGTTTCTGCAGTTTGACTCAGCATGTTTTCACGGGTCTTGTGCCATGAGACCTTTTGAAAGGGGTCAACATTGTTTCACCATGTGTCACCTTCCATACCGGACAGATCTTGCAAAGACCCGTGAAAGCTCATTTTTCTGTTTGCCTGTGCAAAAAAAGATGTTCCAATCCATGTCCTGGCAGGACTTCGGAGAGCACACCTTCCATGGCCATGACCCATGGCCCAATGAGGAGCGGAAGGACGTCATGTTCTACGCCTTCCAAGATCAGGCATGGCATCCCGCGGAAGCTGGTTCAGTAACTGATGGGAACGGGTAACAGCTGGTAACTGGTAATTGGTAACTGATATTGGCTGATGGAAACTGATGGTTGACAGGTTAGATTTGATTAGACATATGTTAGATATGTTAGTTTAATTTAACTATATATATATAAACATACATAGTGTAGCGAAAAATAAATAAACAGATTCAGATTGATAAATTTAGTCAATATATGAAAACATGTACATATTATACATAATATATATATATAAATATATTATTATATTTTATATATAGTATAATGTATAATTATATAATATAAGTATATATATAAGTGATGGTTTTTATTTGGTGAAGTGAAGTGTACTCTTCCGGGTACCCCGGTTCTTGCAAAACAAACGAGGTAGGCACACCTTGAGAACGGGGTAGGCATTTTCATAGTGAGGCCAGACCCCCCAAAAACGGCATGGGAATGGAGAACAAGGTAAGGAACCGGATCATGCGATGTACCAAATACTTATAGTACTTCCCGTGGCTCAATATGTTGGTTAGATTTGGTTAGATTTGGTTATGATTAGATCATTCGTCATTAGTGGGGCCAACGTGGAAAAAGACCGCAGACGCTGCAGGTGCAAGGCACGGAGCCAGTTTGGGACTTCTGGAATCCCAAGGTGCCAACGGCCGCGGATGTAGTGCCACTGCTCTTAGCAATTGGAAATGATGAACTGGGTATGGATCAATACCTATTAATTAATACCATTTTTAGGGGGATGAACATCCATAAATCCCAGCTATTTTGATGTGAACTACAGGGGTACTATTGGTTTTGACACACCAACTGAGCCAGGACAAAGAGCACACCTTTCACTTCGGGGATCCATGGGTCAATGAGGTGCGCCTGTCCCCACCATTGTTTTTTTTTTTCAGCCCCGTTTTTGATGGCCAGTGACTAGGGAAAATGATGATCCACTGATATCCACTGGATTTTTGGGTGATTTTCAGACAAAACCAAGTCAGTCATTGGATTCAGATCGGTTGAAGTCGGTTGGACGAGGAGAAGGGCTCCCAGCCAGTCTTCTATGCCTATCCCTTGGGCGATGACATGAAGGGGATCCTTAACTGCAACATCAGGTGATTTGGAAACCGGTGCCAACAGTGTCTGATGTTTGTTTTTTTCAATTTGTCCTGAGTTTCCTGAAGAAGAACCTCCTCCACTAAAAACCCTTTGAGACTACATAAATCCAGTTCGAGCAGCAGGTAGGGTCTGCCAGATTAGTCACCCTCTTTGTTAAAGCAGGTTGTTGAAGCCTGTGCACAGTGGCTGAGCTGCAGATAGGGGATGTTTGCCACCTGGATCAACTGTCGCGTTGCTAGTAGGATCCTGATTCAGAGTTGCAACATTTCTTTCCATTGGAAACACCAAAAAAAAGTCACTGGGCCATGGGGCCATCATGAATTCATTGAACTCTAATTTTCGGATATTTTTGGCCGAGGTTTATGGTGGGGTTTATGGCTTTCTTTCTGGGGCATCTTTTTGATTCCCAGTTCGGAGGACGGGTCCACGGCGTCCAGGTTTCTGGAACACCGGCAAGCAGAAACACGCCTTCCACATGGGCGATGCCAGACCTGGTGAGGACCAACGCTTGAGCCTGGAAAGTGGATCATAACTAACGATGTAGTTGTGATAATTGATGATAGTTGATGGTAATTGATGATAGTTGATGGTAATTGATGATAGTTGATGATAATTGATGATAGTTGATGGTAATTGATGATAGTTGATGGTAATTGAGGATAGTTGATGATAATTGATGATAATTGATGATAGTTGATGGTAATTGATGATAGTTGATGGTAATTGATGATAGTTGATGGTAATTGAGGATAATTGATGATATTTGATGATAATTGTTGATAACTGATGATAATTGATGATAGTTGATGGTAATTGATGATACTTGATGATACTTGATGATAACTGATGATAACCGATGATAACTGATGATAATTGATGATAATTGATGATAGTTGATGATAATTGATGATAATTGATGATAATTGATGAGAATTGATGAGAATTGATGATAATTGATGATAACTGATGATAATTGATGATAATTGATGAGAATTGATTTCAATTGATGATACTTGATGATACTTGATGATACTTTATGATACTTGATGATAACTGATGACAATTGATGTGAATTGATGAGAATTGATGACAGTTGATGACAGTTGATGACAATTGATGATAATTGATGATAATTGATGAGAATTGATGAGAATTGATGATAATTGATGATAGTTGATGGTAATTGATGATAGTTGATGGTAATTGATGATAGTTGATGGTAATTGAGGATAGTTGATGATAATTGATGATAATTGATGATAGTTGATGGTAATTGATGATAGTTGATGGTAATTGATGATAGTTGATGGTAATTGAGGATAATTGATGATAATTGATGATAATTGTTGATAACTGATGATAATTGATGATAGTTGATGGTAATTGATGATAGTTGATGGTAATTGAGGATAATTGAGGATAATTGATGATAATTGATGATAATTGATGACAATTGATGATAGTTGATGGTAATTGATGATAGTTGATGGTAATTGATGATAGTTGATGACAACTGATGAGAATTGATGAGAATTGATGATAATTGATGATAATTGTTGATAACTGATGATAATTGATGATAGTTGATGGTAATTGATGATAGTTGATGGTAATTGAGGATAATTGAGGATAATTGATGATAATTGATGATAATTGATGACAATTGATGACAATTGATGATAATTGATGAGAATTGATGAGAATTGATGAGAATTGATGATAATTGATGATAATTGCTGATAATTGATGATAATTGTTGATAACTGATGATAATTGGTGAGAATTGATGAGAATTGATGAGAATGGATGATAATGGATGATAATTGATGATAATTGATGATAATTGATGATACTTGATGATACTTGATGACAACTGATGAGAATTGATGAGAATTGATGAGAATTGATGAGACTTGATGAGAATTGATGACAAGTGATGATAATTGATGATAACTGATGATGATTGATGATAATTGATGATAATTGATGATAATTGATGATAACTGATGATAATTGATGATATTTGATGATAATTCATGATAATTGATGATACTTGATGATACTTGATGATAACTGATGATAACCGATGATAACTGATGATAATTGATGATAATTGATGATACTTGATGATAATTGATGATAATTGATGATAATTGATGATAACTGATGATAATTGATGATAATTGATGATAACTGATGATAATTGATGATAATTGATGAGAATTGATGAGAATTGATGAGAATTGATTTCAATTGATGATACTTGATGATACTTGATGATACTTTATGATACTTGATGATAACTGATGACAATTGATGTGAATTGATGAGAATTGATGACAGTTGATGACAGTTGATGACAATTGATGATAATTGATGATACTTGACGATAATTGATGAGAATTGATGATAATTGATGATAATTGATGAGAATTGATGATAATTGATGAAAATTGATGAGAATTGATGAGAATTGATGAGAATTGATGCGAATTGATGCGAATTGATGAGAATTGGTGAGAATTGGTGAGAATTGATGATAATTGATGATAATTGATGATAATTGATGATAATTGATGATAACTGATGATAATTGATGATAATTGATGAGAATTGATGAGAATTGATGAGAATTAATTTCAATTGATGATACTTGATGATACTTGATGTTACTTTATGATACTTGATGATAACTGATGACAATTGATGTGAATTGATGAGAATTGATGAGAATTGATGACAGTTGATGACAGTTGATGACAATTGATGATAATTGATGATAATTGATGATAATTGATTAGAATTGATGAGAATTGATGATAATTGATGATAATTGATGATAATTGATGATAATTGATGACTGTAGTATATTGTAATGACAATATCTTCAATACTCTACAATGACTATATGAATAATATTTAAGATATAATGACCATGTTTTTTAAAACATGTTTTCACCGATAGAATGCTGGACGCACCGATGGAGGACAAGGGCGATGCCCAGTTCTTGGCTTTCTGTGAGCCACTGACCTGGAGGGGAAAAGTGAACTGTGACGGGGCACCTGCGCAAGACCGGGCCAAGTGGCTCATGGAGAACAAGGGAATGAACGAGGCCGGACTCAGTCACAGGTTTTGACTGACGGATTTTCACGAAAACCATGGCTACTGTATATATGGCTATTAGGATCTGTCAGGCTCGGAATTGGATGGAGTTCAAATAGCACGAGACTCATAGCCGCAATAGTCGCATTGACAGTCCGGAACTTTCTGCTTCGAAGTACACAAGTTCCGGGAGGCCGAGGCCCAGGGCCAGGTCATGTCGGAGTTCCCCAGCGTCTTTATCCGTGGCGGCTATAGCGGTGGTTCGATGCCTGTAGCACCTACTGCTGGGAGCCCAAGATCTGATATCAGCATCTTTTCAATCATTGAATCGTGTGAACAACACATACCAACATACTCTGCAACGACCACTCAAGATCAGTACAGGTGGTGGATGGAAAGTTCCCACACACCTTAGAGATCGTGAAGGATGCAGCAGGCCTCAAGTGATTCCTGGTCATGACTTTCAGATTTCATGGTCTGACTTGATAGCGACCACCGTTGAACATGGGTCCAATATGGTCCAATGGCCGGGCAAGAACCGGCTGAAGATTTCTGTCACTCCAAAGAACCCGGGCGACGTCACCATGATCGCAGTGCACTACAGCGCGACTCGACGATCTGAAGAATTCGTCAGTGAGATTGCCGTGTGTACGAGTCATGTCCAAGAATTAGGGATCTCACATTTTCACACATTTTCCAATAGTTGTAGTCAACCACATTTTTCAATTTCCAATAGCTGTAGTCAACGCCACTTTTTTTGCTTTCAGTTCGCACCTTCCATAGTGTGGGATCATGTCGCATTCACCTTTCAGGTGAACAAGGGGCCTGGACATGAAGATATGAACTTTGACATCAACCATCCGATGGACACGTCCTGGGCCGCCGTTCACTTTCTGAATGTCTTTGAAGTGACCGTGACAGACTGGTGCAAGCTGCTCCCGCAAAATTTGGTTGTCATCTTTATATATCTTTATGGTAAACCCTCAACCATAAACCATCCCCAATATAACCATAAATGGGTGGTACAAAGACCATCATCCCCAAATGGTACGGGTTTACTTTACGGTTATTTATGGCATTGGGTGGCTCCCACATGACTAAAATTGCCATCTGTTTTTTTGTCCATCTCATGGTTACCCATCATTTTTCAGATTTTTTTCTATGGAAACTGGCAGGTTTTTGTTGGGGATAACGCCACCCAAAATTTGGGAGGAGGGAAGCACCACCTACGTCCACGTGACCCCTGACTTCGGACCTCTGTGCGAGCCGGGCTCGAAGGTGCCCCTGGGGTTGGATTCCATGGATTCCATGAAGCAATATGACGTACGGGGTACGGGGATTCCATGTAACTATGTAGTTAATATATGTTAATATATACCATACCATATTAACATATATTAACCATATTAACTACCATTGATAATATGGTAGGGGATTACCATAGGTTGATCTGATGAAAAATCCCATGCGATTTTGGGACCTCGATTCCACCGGCCAGGTGACCTACTGGTTGGCGGCCATGGAGAAGGGCCTCATTGTTGAGATGCCAGAGAAGGTATCGATGGGAAAACCAACAGATCCCATGGGAACAGCATTTTACATATATGAAAACAGCCATCAAATGGAGTATGGTATGGTATGGTATCCCCAATTCTTGTTATATTTTTTGTAAACATCAATTTTTGGATATTTTTGGACAAACCCAGATGCTGTCAACAGCATTAATTAATGCTTTGGCGACTGTGAGGCCTGCCCAATCAAGGAAAACAGACTGACTTGGACTGCTCAGATGTGAAAGTTGCGAACCTGATTTTAGCCAATTTGGTCGTGCTCGCGCTTGGCTGGCACGATCTTTTTGCACTGCCAGTCACCAATGGTGACAGGCAAGACCTAGCTTAGATTGCTACGCCTCAATTGCACAGACCTGCGAGCATTGGCTCGCATGGTGGCGCAAGAAAAATGAAGTGCTTGTGACTGTCTTCAACATAGACATATCTTCACACATCCACTTTTTTGGCACTCAACATCCCTCAGATACATTTCAGATACATTTCAGACATGGATAAATCTGAAAAAATCCGGATAAATCCAAGGAAATCTGAATGGACATCTTGAATTGGAAGAGTTTGGGAGCTCCACCCAGGTCGAGTGCCAATCCCACAGCACTTTATGATCATGCACGTGGAGCAGGTGCCATCTGGGATCATTGTTTCAGATTGGGCATGGTGGCGGCAATCACAGCCACTGTAAGTGGTATATTTGCATCTTGGACCTAAGATGGTATTATATGGTATTGATACCTGATTGTACAATATTGTATATAATACATTTTTTATTATTTATAGTAGACCACTATCCAAATGGCAGTCCTAGCCTGTTGCTGTGCTCCGGGTGATCAAGATCCTCATCCATGAGCCACTGTCAGTGAGACATGTGCAAGGGTTTAGCCTGGTCTGCCAACGGACAGGAGATCAAGGGTGATGACACACCTGTGCTGCAGAGCGTTCTGCAGGCCGTGTGTTACTTCATGTGGTGTATGGTGACATTAGCAGCCGGCATTTCAGAGTTTTTCTTCTGATTGCTTCAGGGACATGTGGTGCTTCTTCAGGTTTCCCCCACTTTGGCCTGGTGTTCCCGTAACGTTGCCCATTGCAGGCGGACAAAGAACGTGAGTGGCTTCTGAAAGTAGAACAGGAGCGCCTGGAGTGGGTCAGGGGAGCCGAGGGTTCCCAGAGACTTGAAGAACGACTCAGAAGGCAAGCTTTGATTGAACCAAATGGAGCAATGATGCACATAAAACATCTATAAAAATTTGATTAACCTTATGAAGTTGGCCATGATGTGCTTGTGCTTATGTGCCCCAGTTTTCCAAAACAATGGGCTGTGCTCGGCTCGTTGCCCCTTTGAGGAGTTGCTTGAGAAGGAGGATGATGGAACTGGCAACGAGCCAAAGGTCAACGGCGTGGGCCTCATGGAGGACCGCAACGTTGGGTTGTGCGTTTGACGACACATGGTGGGGGTGGGATATGTTCCATCAGGATCCATCAGATGTTAAATGTTACTACATTATACTGCAGTAATTTTTGTTATGGTCATATCCTGTCATATCATATAATGATGAGCACGTATGAAAAAGTCGAGGATCAAGACAAACACTTAGTACAAGGATGTGCAAGGCCTACTGTGAGGTGCGTCTTCTTGTCCAGAAACTTCAAGAATCCTTCAGTTAGTCAGTTAGATTGTTGAACAGGTCTACGAGAGACTAGAGGAGCTTGGAAATGAGGACGCGGAGGCATGGCACGCTGCCGATGATTCATGCAGAGAGCCGCGAACTGGTCCAAGAATTGAGGACAAACTCATCCCAAATCTGCAGCTCGACTTTCGTCCAGGAAGCTTCCACCATGGGGTTGGAGAATCCAACACTTTTTCCAATGCCGGGGGTTCCTGTCTTTGCACCAGGCGCGAGCCGCTGTGATCCTAGCAGGACTTGGCTTCTCTGGTGAGGCGGGCGATGGCCAGCCAGTTGATAGGGGATGGGTTAGTCACGTCAAACTGTCAAACCGTTAAACCTTATACAGATACATACATATATATATACACACACACGTATATTTCCACAAATTTTTGGGGATGGAGCTTAGTTAAAAAACCTATGATGTGTCATAAATTTGGGGAACGTCCAAACCTCCCAGTTGTTTTGATGTGAACTCCAGGGGATTCCATGGGTTTACACGTTTAAACCCCGCCATTTCCGCAGTTCAGCTGCGCTCAGGATCAGAATCGGCCCACCAAAGAGTTCAGTGGAGGTTGGCGCATGCGAATCGCCCTGGCGCAATCTCTTTTTGCATGGAGTCTCAGAGCCTTTTGGGTTTGTGGAGAGAGTTATAGGATGTTATAGGTTATATCTTCTGTTTTAATATATAATTAAGATCAATTCAGTGGGATGGTAGGCATACAGCTCACCAACTTCAATCCGAGGATTTGACATGATTTCTGGCCACTTCATCGGGATGATGAGAATCGGAATGGTGTACCATTTTTTCAAATCCCCATCCCACTGTTATACAAGAGGGGTTGGTAGCATGCAAAATTGCATACAAGATCTGGGAGAATTATGCATACTTGATTGAAACAAAAGCAAACTTGAAGGATACTCCAAGACTCACGACTCAGAACTATTTGGGATCAAATTTCCAACCAAGCAACATCTACATCTGAAGCCCTGAAGAAGGGCCAGGGGCTTAGCGACTTTGTTCGTTCTCAGGTGCAACCGGATTTGTTACTGCTGGATGAGCCTACGAACCACTTGGACGTGCACGCGGTGACCTGGCTGGAAGAGTTTCTGAAGAACTGGGAGAAGACCGTGGTCATCGTCTCCCACGATAGGCGCCTTGGATGGCGGCTTGGACGTTTCAACTGTTGGAGAATCGGCTTGGAAAATCTGGTTTTACAACATAGGATTACCCTCTGGTGAACTAACATAGCAATGGAAAATCACCATTTTTAATGGGAAAATCCACTATAAATGGCCATTTTCAATTGCTATGTTAGTTCACCAAAGGGTAGCTGGAAGCAAGGCTAAGCTGGTTTTTTTGGGCAGGTGCTTCTTGAACAACACCACCACCAACACCATCTTCTTGCATCGCAAGAGGCAGGTTTGCACCAAATCAACTGCTTGGATGTGCATCCCAGTTAGTAGATGGTTCCAAAATGTACCGCAGTTATATATATAATATAATATAATATATATATATATACACGGATTATAGCATATTATAACTGATTGTAACCCAGTTACACAATATATGATATGGGTTATACCAAAGCTATATATGGATTATTAACCCACTTAATGGATCCCGCAGCCCCAGTCGTGCTGTTTCAGGTTATGGTACTACGGTGGCAGCTACGAGACCTTCCTGAGAGTTCGCGCAGAGCAGCGAACCAATCAGGAGGCCTTGGCCTTGGCTCAGCAGCCCTGTTGGTCGATGATTAGTTAGGGGGTTGCACTCATGGGTAGTATACCCTCTGGTAAACTAACGTAACTATGGAAAATCACCATTTTCAATGGGAAAGTCCACTATAAATGGCAATTTTCAATAGCTATGTTAAATTACCAGAGGGTATAATTATTGGGGTTATTATACCAACTATGATCACAACGATCCAGGTTATACATGGTTATACTGTTACAGCTGTTGTACTATATTAAATTATTGGGGAATTGTTGGGGACGAACAGGGAATCCCATTCTTAACCACGCAGTAGAACCGAATGGCAGATCTGATTTGGACGTGCTGAACCTGACCCCAGGCAATCTCCCAACAGCAGCAAAGAAAGGCCAGGCAATTTTAGCACATTTTTGGACGTGAATGATTTCAGCATCCAGCTTGATGTTCAAACATTGCTGAGATGTTGGTAGGTGGCTCACCTGAAGCAGTTCATTCAACGCTTCGGGCAAGGGCACAAGAAGATGGCGAAGCAGGTGAGGGGTGCAGCCGGTTTCCAGGTGCTCAAAGTGCTCCAAGGGTCACTCCCAGCCTTTTCGAGTAAACGCATGGGAAACTCTTAGAATATCGAGGGAATACATGGGAATGGATCGAACTGGTGAAGTGTAGTCCAGCCCCTCATATGTTGCAGGGACCATTATCCTTAACTACTTCTTCATTCTGCAGGGTTCTGCGGGTGCCTTCTGATGGTGCCTTTCAATTTTTTTTGTCTTTCGCTCTATATTCTGGCCCTTGCTTGAAAAATCCACTAGTGATGCTGCCATCTGCTTGTAAATGACAGCTGAGTACCCAGAACTTGGGCAATTCCAAAAATATCCACCATTTTTTTATCATTTTAATATGTAATTTGTACTTCCTGAGGCTTGGACACAGATGGCAACCTTGTCATCGCAGCTCTAGGGTCTTCCAAGTCGCCATGCGCCGCGTTGTGCGCCTCCGATCTGGTCTGCTGGCTCTGGGACTGCAATTTGCGGTGCCAAAGGTCAGGTCCTTCGCAGTCTGCGAGTCGAGCAAGGAGCAGTCCCTGGAGCAGTTTCTGAAGAGCAACAAGGCTTTCGGTTTTGGAGATGTTCTGTTCAGAATTGAATGGCTTCTCTCGTTTGCTGAGGCTTGAGTCCTGCCCTGTGACGTTTGTTTAGATACACTCTTTACAAATCAATCCTTGAAGACAAGACTTGGTTCATGGATGTTCATAGCCAATCCGACTTTCCGGTGCTTTTTGAGTTGTTTGCAGGCACAAAAGTGGATCGAGCTGAATTCGGACAAATCCAAGAGTTGTGCCTTTGATTCAAATACACTGGTGGTGAAGTAGAGATATCTTAGATATCTTGTATAATCATTTTGTAGTTCGATGTAATTTATGCAACTCTATTTGCCTCTCAAAAATGTTGATGGTTGCCACATGAAATTCATAGATGATCCATATACGATCCAGCCATACCGTAGATATGTTGCCATCCAGCGTGGCTAAGACTTGGCTGTGCCAAGGCCTTGTGAACACCGACTCTATCGACTGGGTGGAGACGGGAGCTGGTGGAGTTCGCCGGAAGATGATTGAGAGGCCCAGAAAGTGCTTGTGATCCATGATGATTGTTGATGGCTGGATGGTTGTTGCACATGATGGAGATGATGGAAGATCAGATTATGAAATGTGTTGGCGTTTTTTGTGAAGCACTGTTTGGCTGTATGATGTTGAAGTGCGAAGTGCAGTTTGAGGGTGTTTGTGGTCGACCTCTCAAGCCTTGAGACAAGGATATACATGATTAATTATTTTTAATTATTTTGGCAGGAGGATAGAAGAGAGTTGCAGATACATACAGACCATACATATCACACACATCACGTGGAAATCCAATATCTTTTTGGAAGCTGCTACCTTCGGACACGGTCCTTTATTGGTCCGCCTCAAAACCATCATTCTCTTGGCTTCTCAATACAAAGAAACTATGCACTCCTCCTGTGTTGAGTTTTCGCTCTGAGTAAGCCGCGGGTAGATTGGCACCACAAATTGCTGGATTCTGTGCAGTCGAAGTTGGTTGAGTTATTTTAGTTGAGGAAGTTGAGGTCATGCCTTGTCAGCATCCAGTGGACATGTCATGCAGGGTGGGTGGTGAAGTGGCGAGAGCTACAACGGTGGTGAACTTCAAGCCCAATGCCTCATTTCCAATGCATCAGCATGTGGGTGGAGAGGACAGCAGCCTTCCTTGATCGCTAAGGCCCCAATATTACAAAATATTACATACCCCTTAGAAAACCCTGTTGAGTATTGGATGGGGGACCAATATTGGGGGGGCATTGAACCTCGGAAGGTTTTACCGTGTTTTACCACTGTTTGAACATGTTTGAAGCCTCTTTCGATCGTTTGGTGTGGAAGATGTCGGCAGACCGAATGGTGACATGTTGTGACAGCAGGAATTCATTGTGCTTGATGGCGCCTGGTTCGATGATTGGGATACTCAGCCGAGCTTGACCTATGTGCGCAATTACATCGGTTCCAAGCACACCCCGCGCATTGGTCCAGATGGATGTACCATCTTGGTGAAACTTTGTCAGCAACTCGGCTGTACATTGGCCAAGTGTTTAGACCACCAAAACTCACAGAGATTTTGTCCACTTCAAGTATTCAGTGACACAGTGACACATGTCAAGTATTCTCTCAGTATTTGAGACATTGATTGCGAAATATAGTGAGCCCATTTTGACCAACAGGCATTTGTGCAACTAGATGTCTAGATGTGGGATCATCAGATTTCATCAGATTGCCACCAGGATGTCGCACGAGCATCGGGAAGCTGATCACACGCAATGGGACATATCTTTGTCCAATCCCAAGTGGAGGCTTCATCGGTTGGGTTTCGGATGGTTTCGGGTCTTTCTGTTTGGCAAAGCGGAGTCTTTTTTGCGATTCTTTGCCTTCGAGTGAAATCTATTTAAACATGATTAAAACCTATACCCATAGGATCCATGTATGGTATATCTGCTAACATTGGGGCTATTTTGATGGGATCCATGTTACCATATATGATCATATATGGATCCTTAAAACCTTAGAAATATTTAGAAATGGAAGATCCAAAGATATCCAGCATGGTTCCGATGACGGCAAAGCATGGCAGCATCGCAGCATCGCCAGCGCGTTGCGGCCGGAGGTCCGTTTCGCCGGGGCGACAGGAGTTGCAGGTCTTCAAATCGCCTTTGGAGGAGGCTGCGGTGATGCTATAGGGAGATGCCAGGGATGCGGTGGGCCCCTTTTTTTATAGCGAGAAAACGGGGAAAAACATCAACATCTATCATCATCCATCAACATCTCCCATAGAGTCCCATAGCAATCCATGTATGGTATATATATATATACATATATATATATGGTAACATTTACCATGAATATACCCCCAATGTTAGCATATATACCAGCACCATGGATCCTATGGGTCTATAAACATCTATAAACATCTATCGTAAGTTGGGGTACCCAACTTTCAGACCAAGCCACATGTTGCCACTTGGGTCACATTTGGGAAAGGTTGGAAAGCAGCCCCTTTCTCAGCTCCAGGTGCACTTCGAGAGATGGGCGCCTCATCAGACAGGCAGACTGCCAGTTTGTGGTGGGTGGCTGATCATTACTGATCCCTTTCCAACTATTTGGTAGGGTCAAGGTTGCTGCCTTTAAAAAACAATTATATAAAAAAACACACATTGGACACATCTGCAGGGACGGTGGAGATTGACGAGAAGGGCGAGGAGGTCTTTGTGATCGAAGGTTCCTTTTCGGATGAATTGGGAGTACATCGGAGTTGGTCTTGGTGCAGAAGCTGGCTGAAGATTGAGGGGGCGGCCTGGGTAACTGTTGCCAGGGATAGAAACATGGTTTGGAACTAGTACTGTCCTAATTGGAACATGTTTGAACGGTTGGTGTGGTCTTGCATTGACTTCATACATCATGATACATCCATCTTGCTAAGAGTTACGAATCCTTGAAGTTCCCCTTCTTTGGCTCCCCCCAAAGCCTTGGCTGAACAGCACTATGTCCATCTCCGAGCGCATTTCGCTGAGGAAATGCAGGCGACCAACGGCGATTGACGCGGAAAGCTGGAGCCAATGGATGTTTCCTGTACGTGAAATCAAAGCACTTGAGATCACCTGAGGTGCAACGCTTTCCAGGGGTTTGCTGGTGGCACATTGACACAACATCTCCCACCACTTTGGGCCTCCTAGAGCAGTTGAAGTCTGAAGTTGGGAACGTCCCAAAAGACAATGCGAGGTGGTGATCTCAATACTCTCTGTTCGTGAGACTCATTGATATTTCATATAGTATTTCTCTATACAGAACCACAAAGCATCTCAAAGCCGTTGACTATGACATGCCTAGATGTTCAGTGCAAGATGATCAGAAAGTCATGGTAAGTATTGGGACAGAGAAGTAGTGGCCATTTTGTTTCCGGTGAATTGGTCAGGATTTCTGCTTTCCAGCCCTGCAGGTTGACATTTGCGCATTGCAGCCCAATGTGGCATCCTGATCATCGTTTGAAAAAGAGGGCCATTGTCCGACAGCAACGCACTGTTGACCAGTGTTGGTTGATGGTCTAGACATTGTGATTATGTTTTAGTACACTGTGGTACTATGGGATTATACACTATTATTATTATTTATTATTATTTATTATTATTATTATAATATATGATATATATATATGACATGGTTATACAGAATACATACAGAATACCAGACTGAGGACTCTAGCTTTCCGCACAGCTGAGAAATGCTTGCGAAGGCTCAGAGTCGAATGAAGATGCTGACGAAACTGCAAGAAGAAGCGGTAGCGGTAGGCTGGAAGCAGCTGGAAGCGGCTGGAAGTTGGTCGCCTTCCGTTGCTTCTGATCTCGAATTCCTTGAGACTGTGAAATATTCATTCAGATTCATGGGATTTCATTGGTCAGTCTGAAAATAGGTACCACAAAAATTCCTGGTCAATATCATGGTATTTCGCATTGGAATGGAACATTGACCGAGAACCTAAGTGAGTCAGCAACTACGAGTCACCCATTGACGCTGTTTGATGGGCGCAGACTATGACGACCCCTACCTGCAGCTCGAGTTCCCAGCAGCTTCCACTCTGCCACCGCCGTGTTGCTTCCTTAGACATTGACAAATTGACATAGCGAAAAACGTGCACCTGGCAGTCGAAAAGCTGGAGTAGACCAAAAATTCTCTGCACGCCCCGTTGGAAGATGTTGGAACATTTTTGAGCAGTTCTGAATATTCATTGAGACTCCAGGACCAAGATTTCAAGAAATATTTCAACTTTTTCTACGCTGCACATCCTACGTCAAGTCTGCAAGTCACTAAGTTCCATCTGAGGTATCTCTGTCATCGAGGCAGGCTTCGGCTACACGCCTGACAGAATACTCTACGAGGCGCGAGTGACACATCGGAACCGCTGCAGGGGATCACATAATTCAAAGATACGCCAATTGCTGGTTCCCTTTCATCCTTCTCATGGTTATGATATGTTATGATTATTGTTTGATTCCTATACATATTATACATGTTTAAATTACTCTCATGCTATACTAGTTGACTGGCTGTTGTTGCCAGCTTTTACTGGCTGCCATTATTGCTATTCTGCCTATATGATTATTATATATTATTATTACATATGATCACCATAAGCTTCATATTCATTACTGTTTTTTTGACTTTTTGACATCATGGTCATTACTGTCATTCTTGTCAGTATTGTCGTCAGCATCGTCACAAAACAACAACATCAATATCATCGATATCGACATCGACATCGACATCACTATTTGTTCATTCTTATTGTCATTATTCTTAATTACTGTGATTATTATCTATCAATGTCTTATTATCATGATGATAAGGATTAATATGATTATAAGTTATGACCATTATTGTTGTTGTTATTATGTTTATTTATCTATTAGTATTGTTATAATACTATTGTACTTGTTGATATCGTTGAATCATGCTGTTTTTCATCGTTACTATGTATCAGAATGTATCACTTATTTATATGTGATTGTCTATTGCGTACCATTTTCTCCGGTGAATGCTTGCAAAACGCCCGCGCAGAATCTGGACTTTGGGGTGGACTGCGACTCGCGGGTCGCCATCGTGGGGCCAAACGGAGCAGGTGGGGCAAAGTGATACGTGCCCAGTTGATGAACCACTAAATAGATTCTGATTCTAAATAGTTTTTTGTTCTAAATGCACATGATAAATACACACACCCGCACACTGCATATAGACAAATAGAACCTTTTTGAACGTGACAGAAACTGATAGAACATCAGCTGTTTGACAAGAATATACAAGAATCGTAGCTGATGGAAGGCCAAAGAAGTGGTTCAAAGCCATGTCTTCGCACGTGCCATGGTGGTTGCGACGTGGTGAGGTAAGTCGACCTTCTTGAAGCTCCTGGACGGTTCCTTGGAACCCACCAACGGCTTTGTTCGGTGCGCCCGGGACATGGATGACATGGTGGGGCTTCGCTGTGACCCAAATAAGCCGCAAAAGAAGTCGGATGAAGCCGGTGAGTTTTCAGAGTTTTCTGACCTTAGAATATCTTAGATTCATATCTTAGATTCCATGTGAGTGATTTGAAGTCTAGTTTGAGGATGTTTAAAGGATCATAAAGGATCTAATGGGGCCAACTGGGGTTGATATGGGTTGATAATGTATACAATCCCACAGTTGCATCCAGCATTCGAAGGACAGCCTTGCGCACGTCATGCCTCGCTGCAGGCGTCATGCCAAGCTGCAACTGGCCAGGCCTGGAAGGGGTTTGCCCCGACGATGGGAAGAGAAGTGATAGATGTTCATGAATATCATTGGATATTCATTGGACATTGTTGGATACTTCACAAAGTGTCACTTATTATATCACTTATATTTGAACTATTTTAAACTTAGATGCTGAAAAGTGTGGTTGTGATCCTGACACTTGGTGCTCGACGTTTTGAGACCGTACACTCCTATTTGGTAGAGCTGCAAGATACACACTTCATACAGAAGTCTCCATGAAATTCTTTGTGCTCAAGACTGTAGCTCGACGCTTCTGCCATTGCTTGGCTATTGATTGGATAGATGACAGGAAAAGTTACAGACCTTGTTGCCCATGCAGTTGGGAAACACCAAGTTCCTGAGTTCAAAACGAAGCAGCGAGAGGGCTGCTTTTATGGCTGGGTCATTGTGACTATTTGCATCTTTGCCAAGATCTTCAAAGTTCAGGGACAGAACAATGTGATGTCCTATACAGTGCCACATTTGCTGGAGGATTTTGAACTTTCCCATGCAGAGCTGGGAGGCCTTTTCTCTGCAGCCACCATCATGGCGGGAATGGTTCAACCGGTGCTTGGTCGTGCCATGGACCATTTTGGCGGACGGGTTTGCATTCCAGCGATGCAAGTGTCCATTTGCTTGACTTTGGCAGCCTTTGCTGCATGGCAGCGCCCAGAACATCGTTTCCTTCTTCGTGTTGAAGTTGTTGGTGTCTTCTTCTTTCTTCGCATGTTATCCCTGGGTGCTGGAGAGATTTTCCCCAATGCCTGCGTACAGCAGTGGTTTCGGCGCCGCCGTGGTCGGGCCGTTGGGGTTGTCTTCACCTTCCAATGGCTAGGCAATGCCATCTTTGGGACAATGATCGCAGGCATCGTGGCTGAGTATAGCTGGCACACTGCGGCAGCCTTGGGAGCCATTTGCAATCTGATGCTGGCCCCGGTGTCCGCGCTGGTGCTTAGAAGGAGCCCGGAGGCTTGTGGCTTGCTCCCAGATGGATATGCAACAATTCCAGAGGATGAAGAAATTGCCCTGAAGGAGCCAAATGAAAGGGCCGAACCAACTGAGCAGACAGATGTCACAAAATTTTGGGCACATTTTGTGTTCACCTTCTTCTATGCTGTTATGTTTGGTGGTTGTGATTTCTACATGGTTGAGATGGTATCAGAGGCTGCAGGAAATGGCGTGGTGTCAGTGTCTCTGCACATCTTTGCGCCCTTTGCCCTAGCGTCATCCTTATCTGTTCCATGTGTTGGAGAACTGATGGATGCATACTGCAGCCGGAAGAAGTGGCTTCCCTCCGCATTGCTGGGACTTGCCGGTTTCCTTACAGCAGCAGTGACTATGTGGCTGCCATTCGTGCACAATTGGTTTGCAGCCGTGTTGTATGCCGTGGTTCGTGGAATTACTTCCGGAATTTTCCAAAGCCTGCTCTCTGCAGGTCTTTGCTTTGCCGCTCTGGGTGTTGGCCGTCAAGAAATCGGCCGAATCTTGGGTTACAACACACTCTGCACTCTCGTTGGGACAGGCGTTGGTCCATTTTTCTACGGCACCTGTCGAGACCTTTTGGGAACATTCCGAACATCGTTGTGGTTGTCAGGTATACCTCCATTGCTGCTCGGGATGTTTTTTTGCAATTCAATCTATGCGGATCCGCCGGAGCTATTCCACTGCTGCGGCTGGAAGCCGATCTCCAGCTGCGACAGATCCGATGGCTCCCGCGATGATCGGCTCGCCGAAGGCGGCCGAAGTGTATGACGAGGCCTGACGAGGCCTGACGAGGTCTGACGAGGCCTGATGCCTAGTGCCACGTAGTGAAAAAGAGAGCAAACAGCAACAGATGCTACAGGGGTCCAACAGATGTACACGAAAGTCACTTTAACCATGGAAATAGTATTGGAAAATAGTATTGGGATGTATTGGGTATTTCGGACTCAGTTGTTGATTTTATTGAAGACTTGTATAGTTGGGCGAAAGAAGCCCAATGATGCTTTGATCACGATTGCTTATAGTTCACTGTCCATCCAGCAGGTTCACCCAGCATCACATAGAGATGATGGATCCCGTGCAGGGCTGAGAGGACGCAGCTGCGATGTAAGGACCTGTAGCAAGAACGGCAGCTGCAAACACCTTGTCACGTTGATTTCCGGAAATTCGCTATGAGAAGGTGGAGTTTGGATCTCGGATGATTTTCAGGTTGCGCATTTTCTAGATCTACCGGCTACCGGCATATGCCCCTGTCACATGTCTTTGTGCGACTGGCTTCCTTTTTGACACTGCAGTGACTGCAGCGGCTAAGGACTCCGATGCTGTGACGCACATGCGAAAGCTTGGGGCTGGAGGCATCAAGGAGGACGCGTCAAGCTGCCCCATGGGTTGAAAACTTGGATGCCCAAAGTGGGTACTGTTGTACGTACAGTGTACAAAGTTAGAATACATTGGAATGGATGATCAACAAAAATACAGTAGTATAGTAATTTTAATGTATAGTGTAGGATCAACAGAGTTCTTAATTACATTGTATATCATTGTATGTTATTGTAATTGCATTGCATTGAAATTACTATGTAAATTTACTATAAGTACAGGAATTGCTATGGTTTTTTCGACCAGTACTTTGTCCAAAATCGGGCGCCAAATCGGCCGGATTTGGATGGGCCAGGACGGAACCAGCGAGGTGACTGTAGAGGAGGCGGCAGCTGGCGATCTGTCGGGAAATGACTATATTTGGCAATTGTTTATGGGGAAAAGATGAGAAAATCTTATGAAAAGATCAAGAACCTATCTTCTGAACCCTTGGATCTTGATGGATTTGGAGGTACCACATTTTCGGACAAACCAACCGGATTTTGAGTTGCTTCAACCGAAGAGTTGATGGACGATGCCTGCGGATGAGCTGCAAAGGAAAGGGACATGTTTCTTTGGAACAACAAACTGTTGCAGATGATTGAATCATTGAAACTGAACAAAAATTGAGGTCTTTCAACCTCTGAATCTTGCGACATCCTTCAACCAACGGATCAATGGATCAACACCGTTCAAACCCCACCCCACCGGGTACGACACTTCCCCCGCTTCAGGCGCGGAAATACCTGGGCCGTTTCGGTCTCCATGGGGACCTGGCCCTCCAACCCGTGAAGTTTTTGAGCGGTGGGCAGAAAAGCCGGTTGGCCTTTGCAGAATTGGCCTGGTGGGGAGGCCCAAGGGAGGCCCAAGGGAGGTCCAAGGGAGGCCCAAGGGAGGCCCAAGGCCCAAGGCCCAAGGCCCAAGGCCCAAGGCCCAAGGAAGTTAAAGGGCCAACAAGGCAAGAGGCCAAAATTTTTCTCAAAATTCAAGGCACAGTCACAGTCCATTCGGAAATGTCTATCAGTTCAACGATGTTCCATGGCATTGCGGCCGAAAAATCCAGACCTGGCAACAGATAAGGAGCTCACCTCACATCATGCTTCTGGATGAACCGACGCCTGGAACTTGGATTTGGGGACCGATCCAGCCCAAGAACAACACATCTTTCCTCATCACGTCTGTTCAAACGGGAAGCGTTTGAGAATTCTCTCAGGAACCATTTGGACCTCGAAACCATTGAGGGCCTCGCAATGGCACTGAATAAGTTCGAGGCGAGGCCAAGTGCGAACATCGAAAATTGCAACGTTTGGGTGTTCTACCCAATCGCCACGGATTCTTGTGGCTTACAGCGGCTTACATCAAACATATAGATTTGTTGCCGCAACGTGATGAGCGCGCCAGGGAGGTGTAGTGCTGGTGAGCCACGATGATCGTTTGGCCGAGCCCTCACAGCGTTGGGTTGTGAGTAGTTCTTTGGTTGATGGTTTCAAACGATTTTTCTTTTCAGCCATAGAAATGGCTTGAAGATCCCTAGTGACAAAGATGTTTTTCAGTGGCTCAACCACCAATCAGTTGTGAGTGCATGTGAGTGCTTCCCAGGTCTACATGGTGGCAGATGAGCTTTGGGTCGTCACACCTGGACCCTCCAAGGACACGAATCGATCTCTTGAATGTGACTTAGGCTATCTCTGGGTGAAGTTAAGAAGTTAAAACCTGTTAAAACATGCCAAAGCCACATTGGTTGTGTTTACATATGGGTATGGATCAATACCTATTAATACCATTTTTAGTGGGATGAACATCCATAAATCCCAGCTATTTTGATGTGAACTACAGGGGTACTATTGGTTTTGACCCACTGCCATATATTTTACACATGAAAGAGGGACCTCCATCGACATCATCGACCTCCTTTTTCTCGCAAGACAGCTGGATGTCGGTCGCATACAGCGGCCACATCCGGCACCAGGATGTTCCTGGAAAAGTCACTGTCTTCGAGGGCTCCTTCGAGGTGCATGAACATTGAGCTTGGTCCATTGGTGACCTTGGTAACCTTGGTAACCTTGGTAACCTTGGTAACCCTGGTAAGCTTGGTGATAAGTTACGTTTTTAGCTGGATGTTTTGGGGATCTCTAGTGAGGACTCCTGGACTTTTTGTTTGGCTTCTGATGCTGTTGATATCTTTTGATGCTCAAAAACTTCTCGCAGATTCTGGCTGATTCTCTGGAAGGAATACAGGGAGATGTTGAGAAATGATTTCATCAACAAGCACCTCACAACTGGCGGTCGGATCAAGAGGAAGTCCTAGGTGCGGCTGGTAGCTGTGGGGATATGTCGGATATGTGGGGACAATCTGAAAAGGTCTTGTAGTTGCCTATGCTTGCTTCTCAATTAGAAAACATAGGTTACAACAGCGTGCTCCACAAAATTACATTCGCTTGAGATGATGATAGTTTGAGATGATGCTGGTTCTGTGCTTCCCACTTGTCGATGTTTCTCAATCCCGGAAGGGATTCTTCATGGCAGTAGCACTCCAAGTAATCACCAAGCATCGGCAAAAGACTTGCAAGAACCGTGGCCGGACAAACATCTAAAGCCATGTGACAAGTTTAGTTTGTTCAGCCCTAGGATGCTACTGGGAGTGATTAGAGACTGCAGACCAATTAATATTGGAGTCATCGGTCTTATAACAATATCAAAAACACATCTCTACATTCTACATTCTACATTCTACATACATACAAACATATAAATAAATATAGAAAGAACTATATATATATACATATTACATATTATGGTAATATGTGGATATGTTGAAAACTACAAGGTAGAATCGATTGTAGCTTCACCAAGCCCATTCTCCGTCCTCCCGTTGCGACGGAGGTTCTTCGCTGTTCGCTCCGCCGCGACTCGCTGAAGAACAGCGATGCGGCTCCCGACACCGAAGATGTCCCTGGCCCATGGGATCCACCATGGCTCTGGCTGTGAGGTTTTCTGAGCTGAGATATGCTGAATGATGCTGAATGATGCTGAGATGTTGAAGACTGAGGAGGATGTATATATATATATATGTTATATTATATATATCATATATATATATGATATATATGATATATATATATGATATATGATATATATGATATATATGATATATATGATATATATGATATATATAATTATATACATTATATTATATATATATTAGATATATTATTTTATACATATATGATATTATATTATATATATTATATATTATATATTATATATATATTATATATTATATATTATATATATATATTATATATTATATTATATTATATTATATTATATATATATCATATATATGATATATATGATATACATGATATATATATATATGATATATATGATATATATGATATATATGATATATATGATATACATATATTATATATATTATATATAATATATATATATTATATATATATTATATATATATTATATATATCATATATATGATATATATGATATACATGATATATATGATATATATATGATATATATGATATACATATATTATATATATTATAATATATATATATATATTATATATATATATTATATTATATATATAAGCATGGGGATGATTTGAAGGATCCAATTCGCATGAGGTGTACTAATGAGTGAAGTTTCGACCCAGATTTCATGGTACCTGGTAGCCAAATGTTGTGAATTTCAGGTTTGGCCCAGCCAAACACATCTTTTTCAGCAGCCTGCCAATGGTTACCACGGTGGTTTCCCGCATGGATCAACCAGCACAGAGTTGCCTCACCTCCCATGCAGACCGGGAACGTTTTGCGCTTTGGACCAGTGCCAGAAAAGTTCTTCCGCTGCTTGGAGGAAAGGAAATCCAATCTCAGAGTTTCTCCGATTTGCATTTTGCTGTGATTGGAGAAACAGCACGGATTGGGGTGAGGCTTTCATTCAGTCCCTTGTTTGGAGTCTAGTGAAGCTAGAGCATTGTCTTCGCGAGGTGAAAGTCCACGAATTTCACTTGTCTTGCGCATCTCCTGGCTCTGTCGGCTAGGAAAGGATTATGGAGCAACGTGCCAACATAGACTCAGAACTGAATCCCAAACATGAAGCACACACAGGACTTCATGGCAGCACATTGTTTTGGCCTCTTGTGAAATGAATAGTATGGGATGTCAAAGTAGATTCTGGCCGCTGCTGACCCATGACCGCTGATCAGCTTAGCGACTTAGCATGTTTGTTGAGTTCCCATCTCCAGTTTGAAGATGTTTGAAGGCATCAAGAAAACATAAGAAAACCCTTTGAACGATCCAACATCCCCTCCGCGTTGGTCCATTGATTTGTGCCTTTGGACAGATCCCAAAAGAATGGCGATGGTCCCAGGCATGGCTGGCAGGTGCGCACGCTGCTGGGTGGAAGTGATCAAGCGATGTAGGGGGGTGGAGTGCTTGGTTGCAGTGTGTGATTTGATGGCAACTGATCGCTTGATGCTTTGAAGATCTTTGAAGCTTCTGGGGCGGAAAGCAAACTTGCTTTCTTTCTCCTTGCAGGTTATATATAGAGGCAAGGATTCCAGGTATGCTTGCGCTCCATCAGATTCATGGTCAGACTTGGTAGAGCTCGGAGCAGTTGCTGAACTGTCCCCGCAGTCCACGGTACATCTCGGCTCAGAGAGTCCGTGACAAATCTCACGACATTCCAGACATCCCAAGGTCAGGGTGCAAGGGAGGACATGAGCGTGGCATTGACACTAGGAAAATCCAAACATGTTTGAACCGAAGGAATTTGGACTTGTCAAAACAGTTTTAAACAGCCTCCTCGCCAACTTGAGAACACCCCGGGATTGGTCAACTTCAAAGCAGATCATAATCTCCTTTGCAGAATGGATAGCCACTAGTGCCATTTTTGGCCTTGTTACCCTGATTGTTAACCTTTACCATCCTTTACCCTATAGTGACTATAGCCTTAACCAACCATACCACCTTCTTGCTGCGGAGCTATGCGGAGCTGAGGTCTCTCCGATGGAGCTCCGAGTGGGTGGAAAGTTTCGCCTTGGCCGCAAGATTGGATCTGGATCCTTCGGGGACATCTACATTGGCACCAACGTGACTCGGCATCGACGAGAATTTGATCATCGCATCATTCAGATTCATCACATTGACGGATTTGATCTATATATATATATGTGATATATTATGATTATCATTAATGAATTACGACTTCTTCAAATTAGTTCATGATCTCTTGAGATCTTTTGATATCTCTTGATATCTCTTCATCACTTTTGTTTTTTCCGGGAGCAGAATCGAGGTGCAGACCAGTGAGGAGGTGGCCATCAAACTAGAGTCCATCAAGTCCAAGCACCCTCAGCTGCTCTATGCCACTGGGATTGAAAAGACATAAAAGACAGTTGAAGATGTTGAGGTCAAGGTACTCAAATTATCTCAAATTAAAGTGATTAATTTGATGTGATTTAATGTGATTTAGTACTATAGTCTATTGGCACGGGATGAGCAATCAGTGGGTTTGCATCCCCAAAGTTGTGCGAAGTCAAGCCCATTAGGAATGAACTGTGTGCTGAAAGGATTCACAAGAATTCACAGGAGTTGATTCCAGAATGACCTGAAATCTCCCGAACTGGATTTGTGTCACGTATTTTGTGGCACCACTTGTCTAATTTTGCTCCGTGCATCCTCTCAAACTCTCATTTGTACGCTTGGGAACTCAGGAGTCCAAGCTGTATAAGATCCTGGCAGGAGGGATAAGGGTTACATAGCTTCTGTGTCAGCTTTGTCTTCGATGGAAATCACACCGTTTTCTCCTGATCAACATTCACACCTGCTCGTCGTTTTCAGGAGGTGTGGGCGTTCCAAACGTCCACTGGTACGGAGTAGAGGGTGACTACAACGTGATGGCTGGGAACTTATGCTGATACGACCGAAATCAGGGAATTACCATGAATTTCCATCCCCCAACTAACATAGACCCTGCCAAATGTGGGGGTGGAAGACTACCCAGGGGCTATGTTAGTTGGGGAGGTAGCAAATACCACACCGCCATACTCGTATCAACTTGGGGGCCTCTTGGAAGCTGTCACCTTCCAGGGCAACTGCATGAACACTAACTGGGTCAAAAACACAGCTCCTACATTGTCATGCATGATGAGGCGTCTGCGAAACAGGTTGTGCTCCAAAACAACATTTGCCATACAGTAGAAGGGAGGCCCTGTCACAAACCTTTCGCAACACCACCTAAAACATCTAAAACTGCAGCCCCGCAACGTAGATGCTGTTCCATGAATCTTCTTTTATGAAGGTCAAATAAAGAAATGCCAGTGGTCTATTTAGACCAGGTGACTTCTCGCGCCCTCGACCTGAGGTGATCGACTTGTTGGGGCCTTCATTAGAGGATTTGTTTAGCTTCTGCAATCGGAAGTTCAGCCTGAAGACCACACTGATGCTGGCCGACCAGATGATCAATAGGCCAGAAAAAAAGCCTCAAGATGACGAAACCCCAGAGGAGACCGTATTTGAAGTCCTTTCACCAGCCGACCAATATTAAAATCTATAGCTTTGAATTTCTACTCTTTTCTACTGAGTTTGTCCTTTTGATACTTTTGGAACGCTCTTCTCACATGAAGGGCGTCTTCTTGGTGAATTTTGACTCACTGCAGAGTGTGGATTTTTTGCATTCGCCCTGTCCAGGGTTGAGTACATGCACGCCAAGAACTTCATCCACAGGGACATCAAGCCGGATAATTTTCTAATTGGATTGGGAAAGAAGGCCAACCAGGTCCACATCATCGACTTCGGACTGGCCAAGAAGTATAGGCGCCTGATGGCGCCTGGCGAGAGAGGGTTGATAGAGTTGGCCAGATGCTTTGGATTGATGTTGCCCGTACATGTTCAGAAATTGCTGATGACTTTTCCACATTTTTCATTCAGTGGATGTTTTTTTCGTGATCGTCAGGGACCCCAAGACGCAGCAGCACATCCCTTACAGAGAGAACAAGGCCTTGACAGGCACTGCAAGGTATGCCAGCGCCAGGGGCTCAGTAGTTTGTCCAACAGCCTGTCAGTTTTGCCGCTCTGTTGAAGCTAAAATAACTATAAAAAGGCGCAGAAAAAACAACACACATGTAGCGTCGTAGAGCCTGAAACATGATTCCATGATGGTCTTAAAAATATGGAAGGGTACATCATCCCACTAAAATTATAGATCCTTAAAACATCTTAAAAATATCAAACAAGGGTACATCCTCCAGAAAGATGCGTTTACACCTTGGAAATCCTTGGAACGCCCTGGGTATTGATCCCCAAGGTCAACACGCACCTGGGTATTGAGCAGAGTCGGCGAGATGATCTTGAGGCTGTTGGATATGCCACTTGGCCGCATCTTGGGTCAGATTAGCTGGCCGTATCTTTTTTTCTGGCCCTAGATGGGATAGATTTTATTGGGGGTTCCATGTGCTACAAAGCGGAAGCTGGGGCAAGTCGAACCGAGAATTTTTGGGCCTCAGAAGGTGCTCCTGAAAGGATTTCTTCATCGGTCCGTTCCATAAGGTTTCACAAGAACAAGATGACACAAGCTCTTGATAGAACCTGAATTCAAGTTGGGCACAACCAAATTGAGCTGAAAAGACCAGGATGGGTGATGGAGTGTGATGCAAGTGGAAAATATGACCCCAAAATATGACCCGCAATTTTGAAGAAACCATCCCGCAATGGAACCAGCGACATCCAGGTGCTGATGTATTTCAATCGCGGCAGCCTTCCATGGCAGGGTCTGAAGGCAAACTCCAAGAAGGAGTGGCTTGGATTATCTGATCTGGGACACAGATGGCACAGCATTACCATGAGATACCATGAGTATCATGAGTGGATGATGAGACTGGACCAGAATGGATGTCTGATGAACTGATGATCTTTGTTGATCTTTGACCATGTTTCACTGGCCATTTTTTTAACTGCGAGATTTCCCTGGGAAATTGAAACCGTTTGCCCCATGCGGTGCCAAGGAAGTATGAGAAGATCATGGAAAAGAAGATGTCCACGCCCATCGAGGCGCAGCCAGTCAGGACCCAGTCAGGATGACTGACCTCGGTGCTTTTTTTTTTTCAGCTGTTGCATTGGTCGGGTTGCATTGGTCGATGGGCTCGCAGGTGCTCTGCAAGCACTTCCCCTGCGAGTTTGCCACTGGACCGAATTTTCGAGGGGTACATCGGTAGGTCGGTAGGTCGAACATGTGCCAATGTTTGAATCTGAGGGGAGTGCTGTCAACACCCAACAAAAGGTATGAGCTTCGCCAGAGGTGTACGTCCCCTCACATGCAGAGTAATGCTCTAGTTTTCATATGTTTTCATCAGCACACATCCCAATGGAGGGAGGTCATCAACTTCTTTATCATATCTCTATCTTCTTTCTGGCCGTTCAAAAACTGGACAGACCAGGATAGACCAGGTGGAAGAGGGGCCACTGGGTACAGTGTACCCAATCTGGCAACCGAGGCGACCTACCTGAACTACTGCCGCAGCCTGCGTTTTGAGGATCGGCCCGACTACGCCTACCTGCGGCGACTGCTGAAAGATCTGTTCTTCCGGGAGGGCTATCAGTAGCTTGGTCTCGAAAGGCTTCACTTCCAAGCTGAGATGGGTCATGGATGGTCATGTGGGTATGGATCAATACCTATTAATACCATTTTTAGTGGGTTATTCACATCCATAAATCCCAGCTATTTTGATGGACATGTCCCATGACAGGGGCTATGACAGCTATGAATTCCACTGGTTGATCCCATGACCGGCACTCCACCAGCGAGCTGCAGCAAGGTATGACTTTGTCTTTGACTGGACCATCCTGTGGCTTGGTGTCAGCTCAGTTATAAAAAAAACCCTTCAACAGGAAAAACATCATGAGATTTCCATAGTATTCCATATAGTATTCCATATATTATTCCATATGACTCCATATATTATTCCATATATTATTCCATATATTATTCCATATATTATTCCATATGACTCCATATATTATTCCATATATTATTCCATATATTATTCCATATGACTCCATATATTATTCCATATATTATTCCATATATTATTCCATATGACTCCATATATTATTCCATATGACTCCATATATTATTCCATATATTATTCCATATATTATTCCATATGACTCCATATATTATTCCATATATTATTCCATATATTATTCCATATGACTCCATATATTATTCCATATATTATTCCATATATTATTCCATATGACTCCATATATTATTCCATATATTATTCCATATATTATTCCATATGACTCCATATATTATTCCATATATTATTCCATATATTATTCCATATGACTCCATATATTATTCCATATATTATTCCATATATTATTCCATATGACTCCATGCGAATAGAGTGTAGGCTACGGATCACTGTATATATGCATAATCATACACTCTAGGATCCATCGTCAAAGGGGCACTCCGACATTGGCCTCTTTGGCTCAAGGACATACTGCTGCTACAGGGAAAATGAGAGCCATGCGGAAGCTGCCGCCCTCGTGAGGTCGTCATCGCAACTGCAAGTATCAACATCAATTACAGGAACATAATCGGGCCAACAATCCCCGATTCTCAGGTTATCAGCCGTAGGACTCCTACGGAGCCTACGAGCGGGTAGCCGCGGGCCTTACAGATGACTGAACAGGATAGCAGCGATAATGCATTTTCTTTCTCTGGACATGCCGTTGCACCAGCTGCCGGCACGCAGTCAAATTCTTCACAGAGTATCGACACTGGTGGAAGCGATGCCTCAGAATTGAGAACAAGCCAACCCAGGCGACAACTGGTTGCTCCTAGAGGGAGACAAATTTCGACAATGCAAGCAATTGAAGATAGGGACAGCACACCTGGAAAGAGAAGATCATCTGCACGACAATTGTCGCCTCCGATGACTCCAAGGACCAAGGCAAAGACTACGTCGTCGAATCCGCCTTCACCGATTCAGGACGCTACTCCATCAGGGACAGGATCTTATCAACAAGTGAACGCCCCATCAAGTGGTAGCGACATCTTCACTGCCTATCAGAGTGAATTAGCTGAATACAAGACATCACTGGAAAGGGCCACTGAAGAAGAATCCGTACTTCAGGCAAGATTGAGCGAGACGACAGCATATGCCTATCAACAATTTAATTTCCTGGAAAGCACCACTCATCAAGAGATGATGTCGATGACCGAACAACTCCAGATGCTGAACTTCGAGTTACAGGCTGCACAACAAGAAGACGAAGGTGCGACCTACAGGATCGAAGAGTTGGAAAGGTATCAGACTATGTCGAATGAAGCTGCATCTCATTTGGAATTCAAATATTCACGACTACGTTCGGAATTCGATGAACAAATGGGACAAGCGAACGCAATTATGGTGCATGTGGGCGCTGATGCGAATGCTCACATCAATCAACTCAGACTGGAACTGGAAAACGCAGAGATGAATGCCAAGCAGGAAGCTCTAGCGGTCGGCTATGCTAACGACCAGACATGTGCTTTACAGATCGAGATGCTCGAGGTTGCTAATCAGAACCAGACGATGAAGCACACCATGGCCATGAACGTCAGGCGACTGGAAACTGAGCTCGATGCTGCTGACATGAAGAGGGACGAGATCATGAAGGAGTTCCGTAGTAACATAAGATCTGAACATGACCGTTATGCAGAATGTGAACATCACTTAGCTTTGGAAGAATCGCAACTTCGATTGCAGGTGATCCACAGTGAGAACTTACAATCTCGACTAGCGATTTCTGAGAACAGGGTTTCTGAAGAATCTCTAGCTGAATCAGGTGGCATGCGGGACATGAGGATCATGGGACTACGTTCTGAACTACACATGAAACAAAGTCTTTTAGATCGAATGCAACAGCAACTGACTGAAGCGAAGAATCAGTATCATGAACTTTCCTGTCAACAAGCCAGAAGATCATCACCAAGCAGATCACCGCATGGAGGACCTCTCTATGAGATGTACATGCAAGCCGTGCGTGAACGTGACAGCTTGAAAGAATCCAAGGCCGAAGTTGACAAGTTGTACTTGCAGAATAGATCTGAACTCATTGACACTGAGGACCTGCTCAAAGTATTCCAGCGAAACTTTGATGAAACTGGTAAGAAATATCAAGATGCTTTGAACAAGATCGATCACATGAGCAACAATCCGAATGTGACGAGTACCTTGTTTGATAGTTTGCACAATGAACTCAATGACAGGGATACAGCTATTGCTCGCCTTCATACTGAACTTGAAGCCCAAAAGGACTCTCTTGAGCGTGCTCACAGGGATGCAGGTAAGTCCATCAAGATGTTGAACGACAGAAGACTCGTGATCAAAGGTGCGACTGACTATTCCATTCCTGAAAGCCATTTGACCGAGATACATCAATTGGCCAATGAGCGTTACGCTGAGGTAGAAGAAATGTCGAGCACCATTGCTGCCCTGAAGTTGGAAAACCAAGCTCATTCTTCTTCATTAATGAATAGACCGACTACATTACATGGGTACCCCAGTAATGCTATGCCTCGGAATGAATGTGAAGAAAAGTGTGCCAAACTGAAAGCAGAGTTGGACGAGATGAAGCAAGAGAAGAACAATGAAATTCGAAATCTTCAAGATGAGTTGAAGAAGATGGAAGATCGTAAAGATTACTACAAGAACAATTTCTCTCAAGCTGAAGATCGTGCCAATGATGAAGAGCAGGAATACCGAGCAGAAGCTGAAGCCTTCGAGAAGCTCAGGAACGAGTACAACATAAATGTCAAGGAGTTGGAGAACCTTGAAAGGGATAGATCCAAGTCATCTGTATCTCTAAGAGAAGCCGAAAAGATCAGCCTCCAACCCTGGCCTAAGACCACTGAACTTTCATCCTGGAAGGGAAGTGTCGTTCATGAAGTTTGCGTTGCAAGTGGAGATCGAAACTATGAAGATTGGAAGGCGTGGTTAGCTCCGTGTCTTGCAGATCAACCTGACTTGGAGGCGCTGGCCAAGGCTCCTGATGTGAGATTCCAATCCATTGATGCCAAGCTCTCCAACGCCTTGAGGAAAGTCATTGACAATGCTGGGGACAAGTCCATGCAAGTGAAGTATGACATGTCCATGAAGAACCAATTGTATGGGAGGAGTGGGGACTTCATCAAGGGACGAGAACTATTTGCAATGATATTGATTAGCTTCAAGTCACCTGACCACACTGAAGTTCTCTACAATGCCCATCATTTGTATATGTTCAACTACTATGGAGATGACCAACTTGAGGCCTTCTACAACAAGTGGCTTGACATCGTATACAATATGAAACATGATGATCTGCCTTCCAATAATTCCCTGCGTGACACATTGTTCCGGAAGATTGAACATTCAAAACTTATGGCCTTCGATATCAACCGATACAAAACCTTTGATGAAGGGCATCCTGAGAAGACCTATGCTTACCTAACTGGTATGATCAAGGGATACATAGCACGAGGGAAGCAAGAACGACTGTTGAAAGATAGAGAACGTGCAGTGAAACTGTCATTGTCCTCTAACAAGACGACACCTGCCTTAGAAGATGCAGACAAGCCTGCCGCTCCCGTCAAGACCAAGAAGGAGAATGAAGCGGCCGCATCGTCTACAGGTGATCCTCCCAAACGTCCTAAGGCGAAAGCGAAGAGTGAAGCTGCATCGGTACTTCCTACACCTTCTCCGAAATCCCATGCCGACAAGAACAACAAGAAAGGCAAAGGTGGGAAGGGAAGATCATCTTCACCCGTTGACAAGAAGAAGATTTTCTGTAACTACTTCTTCAATAAAGGAGGATGCAACAAAGGTGACAAATGTCTTTACAGTCATTCTCAGAAGGTCTATGATGCCAAGATGAAAGGTAAGAAAGGCAGAAGCGGAAGTCGAGATTCATCAAGAGGGAAAGGTAGAGGAAGTTCATCTTCAGCTGGACCCAAAAAGAAGGTATGTTGGAATTGGCAAGAAGGTACCTGCAAGTTCGGAAACAAATGTAAATTCCTACATGCAGATAAATCGCCTTCAGCATCCTCAGAGAGAACCAGCAAGAAGACACCAAAGAAGAAGGCGACTCCCATTACCATTGATTCCTTCTTTGATAGCGACAATGAAGATTCTATGGATTATACCTCACCGAGGATAGCCAGCGCAAAGAAGTCTTCTGATGATCGCAGGATCTCATTTGACCTGGAACCTGAGGTGCACGAGATCGCCATTGAGGACTACCAGGAGGGACTACCCTCGTGACCCCAACAAGCAATATGTTTTCTGGAAAGTCGATGATTTGACCGACGATCAGTCCAAGTCCGACAACACCCTCGGTTCAATCCGAGCACGGGCCAAGGCTATCATCATGGACAGATGTGGACTCCATCGTTTTGTTGATGAAGTTAGAATCATTATTGGCCCCAAATTTGACATGTTGATCAAGCTGGATAATGATCGTGATGACTTGACTTTTATTGAAGAGCTTGTTGAGCACGAAGTTGGAAACTCCCTCATGAAGTCCAAGAACATAATGTGCATTTCACTACCAGTGCAAGCCAAAGATCGTAGATTCATCCTGGATTCTGGCAGCGGACACGATCTGATTTCTGCAAGGAAGGCCGAGAGGATGAACTTGAAGCAACGAACTTGTGATCCTATCATGTTCCACACTGCCAACGGTTCAACTGCTACTCAGACAGAAGCGGAGATTGACTTGGGAACCTTTGATGTGACCTCTCATGCCTATGTACTGGACGACACTCCGTCCGTGATGTCTCTTGGGAAACGATGCATGGAAGAAGGATATTCCTTTGTATGGCCATCTGGTCAAATGCCTTTCATGATTACGAAGAATGGAGAACGCATCGATTTGACAATCCATGACAACATCCCATACGTTGATCTTGGAACTTACGAATGCACTCCTCATGAATGTCTTCATGCATCGAAGATCCATGACCTACTGACACATTCTCAAGTTGGATTCAACGACTTCAACGACATTGGTGATGTTGG